GGGTTGTAAAAGAAGTGAATGCTAGGGTGTTAGGTAGAAGTGTGGAATTGAAAGATTGTGACTCTAAAATAGAGAGGAATTGAAAGATTGTGACTGGAATGGGAGTTGTTACAGTTGTTGCTTTCTTTTCCCAATGATGTAGTTCTCTTGGCGAGATTCAGAGATATTGCAAAGGCTCATAAACGAATTTGGAGGGGCACGTAAAAGAAAGAAATTAAAAGTAAACCTAGGAAAGAGCAAGGTGATGAGATCAAAAAATATGCAATGAGAGATTTGATATTAGATTGGAGGGATGGAATATGGAGGAGGTAAATGTGTTCAGATATGTATTTGGAAATGGACTTGTTGGCAGATGGTTCTTCGAGAGATGAAGTGAACCATAGAAATGATGTAGGTAAAAAGGTGGGTGGTCCATTGAGCCATCTGTGAAGACAGAGCTTTATCCATAGAGGCAAAAAGACAAATGCACCAGAGTATAATGATGCCAACAACGTTGTATGGAAGTGAAGCATGGGTTTTGAATGTTGCAGTTAGGAGGAGGCTGGAAGCAGTGAAGATATAATGCATTAGGGCACCATCTAGCGTGAATATTATGCAGAGAATTTGGAGTTTGAAGATTAGGTGTGGAGTCACCAACAGCATTATTTAAGCCTTTGATTGTTTTGGTCGTATATATACGTCTTATGATCCAGTGTTTTGGACGTATATATACTCAATAATTCTAGCGGCTTCAAATCAAGCAGGATAATGCTGGTAGGCCCACATGTGAGAGAATGGGTCTGTGTGGTCAGTGTGCACCACATAAAAATAAAATCCTGCAGCACACAGTGCATAATGAAAAAACAAAAAACTCTGACCGTTTTTTTTGGATTAAAATGCCGACTTTGAGGTGTATTTTCATATAGTATTTATCGTTGTATTCTCGTTTTCATGGTTTCATGTGATAAAACGGGAAAAAATATTGCAGAAATAGAGATGATTTTGATTAGATTCACGATGAAAACGACCTTGAAATTGAACTCTAAGTAGTGGAAATGTTCGATTTTTACCAATGTTCAAGAGTAAGCAAATCACACCAGATGTCCAATACACGTCAACTGGGGAGTCTAATATTCTTTCACTAGTGCACTGATATTGTTTATACCATTTTTACAATAATGTAGTAGTCTGCATAACAGTCAATTTTGTATTTTTAGTATGAATAAAAAATAAAAATAGAAAGCAATAGTAATATAAGAGGGGCCTAGAGACATGACTAATGAACAGAGGATATGTTATTTTAGTGCGAAGAATGTCTACATAGTTTATTCTGGACCCTATTTTGAAATTGACATCTTTTTTAATTTGCGTGAAATTGGCCAAATTCCCAATTTCTGACTACTTTATTGGGTAGTTCATTTTGGTAAATGGGCAGTTTCTTGTACTCAATTGATAGATAAAATGGAGTTCTAAAGAAATAGCTATGAGTTTGGTCAACTGGAACAACGGAATTGCCCAAAAAAAGGGCTCAAAGTCGGCGAAATCGCTGATGCGTATATGTCGCTGAGATCACTAACTTTGTGGGAGCATAATTCCGTGAGTTTTTTACCAAATTTCATAATTTTGATGTCATTACCATCGGGAAAATATTATCATTTCATAAGAATTTTTTTTTTTTTCTTCTCCAAAAATTTTGCAAAAGTTTCAGAAAGGGGCTTGCGACAGTCAAAGGGTTAAGAGAGTATGGAGGAGGTGAATGTGTTCATATACTTGGGAGTGGACATGTCAGCAGATGGGTCTGTGAAGGATGTGGTAAATCATAAAATTAACGAGGGGAAAAAGGTGAGTGGTGCACTGAGAAGTCTGTGGAAACAAAGAACTTTATCCATGAAAGCAAAGAGGGGAATGTATGGGAATATAGTTTTACCAATGCTCTTGTATGGGCATGAGGCATGAGTTGTGAATGTTGCAACAAAAAGAAGGCTGGTGGCAGTGGAGATGTCATGTCTGAGGGCAATGCGTGGTGTGAATACAATGCAGAGAATCTGTAGTTTGGAGATTAGGAGAAGGTGTGAGATTACCAAAACTATTATCCAGAGGGCTGAGGAAGGGTTATTGAGATTGTTTTAGAGAGTTTGGAATGAAATATAATGACTTCTGTAGTGAGGGAAGGCGGGGTAGGGGTTGGCCTAAGAAAGGTTGGAGGGAGGGGGTAAGGGAGGTTTTGTGTACGAGGGGCTTGGACTTCCAGCAAGCGTGTGTGAGTGTGTTAGATAGGAGTGAATGGAGACAAATGGTTTTTAGGACTTGATGTGCTGTTGGAGTGTAAGCAAGGTAACATTTATGAAGGGATTCAGGGAAACTGGCAGGCCGGACTTGATTCCTGGAGATGGGAAGTACAGTGCCTGCACTCTGAAGAAGGGGTGTTAATGTTGCAGTTTTATAACTGTAGTGTAAGCATGCCTCTGGCAAGACAGTGATGGAATGAATGATGATGAAAGTTTTTCTTTTTTGGGCCACCCTGTCTTCGTGGGAAACAGCAGATGTGTTAATAAAAAAAAATAAAAATTAAGCATTATTTAACCCGTAAACGGTCCAAACGTATATATATATGTTTTTACCGCTAGTGCTCCAAATGTATATACTATACGTTTTATTTGTCATACACTCAACATTGCCACGATAAGCCTGAGTCACTTAGACATGAGAGAATGGGTGTGTGCACTCACTGTGTGCCATATTAAAATAATTGGGGATGCCTAGGTACCATATGCTCTTTTTTCCTATTAAAAAAACTATTTTTTTTCTCTCAAAAAAGTTGCGGCACTATGGGAGAGAAAGTATATATATGTTTGGACCGTTTACGGGTTAAGAGAAGGGATTGTTGAGGTGGTTTGAACATTTAGAGAGGTTAGAGAAAAATAATGACCACAAGGGTGTATAAATCTGGAGGGGAGGCAAAGAGGGGTAGGGGTAGGAAAGGTTGGAGGGAGAAGGTAAAGGAGATTTTGTGTGTGAGGGGCTGAGACTTCCAGCAAGCATACATGAGCATGTTAGACAGGAATGAGTGGAGGCAAATAGTTCTCATGACTTGACATGCTGTTGCATTGTGAACAAGGTAATTTTTGTGAAGGGATTCAGGGTTAGCTGGACTTGAGTCCTGGAGGTGGAAGTACAGTACCTGCACTCTGAAGGAGGGGTGGAGATATGTTGCAGTTTTTGAACTGTAGTATCATTGGCATGCCTCTGGCAAGATTGTGATGGAGTGAATGGTGATGAAAGTGTTTCTGCTTTTTAGGGTCACCCTACCTTGGTGGGAAATGGCTGATGTGTTAAAAAAAAAGAATCATTACATACAAGTGCACATCAACAATTTGGTGATCAGTTGTTTAAAATAATTATTTCTTCATAAAATTTCACCTCAGAATTAGATTCTGGGTGAACATCAGTTGTTTGGAATGAAAAGTTGCTTAGCCATAATAAAATCACATTTATAAATAATCCATTTCCAAGCACTTCTTGAATAATTGTTCTTAATTGTGAAGTAAATTATAATAAGAGTGAAATCTGGGCAAACGCACTTAAGTTAAAAGAAGTAAGGGTTGAGGCTGTGTTGACAGATGGCTTACAGAGGAGGTTGAGAAGCAAGTACAGTAGGACCCCTGTATCCGCAGGGGATACATTCCAAAACCTACCACGGATACCCAAAGCTGTGGATAGTACCAAACCCTATATTTAAATAATTTTTGTATACATACATATCTATGATCAAGTTTAATTGATAAATTATACACAGTAAGTTGAGAATTAGCACTTTTTCACTGATGGGAAGCACACCAAATCTTCTCTTAGACTTTTGCTCCTTGGTGTCATTATTAAGCAAAATTAAGGGTTATTTTCTGGCCAGGGTAAACCGTGGATAACAAACCGTGGAAACCTGACCCACGGATACGGCGGTCCTACTGTATTTAGCACTTAACATTGGAAATAATAATAATAACAATAATAATAATCTTAGTAATACAGACGCATGCATCTGCATAATTTTTGGATGTATTTTTTGTTCTTGTAAAATATGATTTTAAATAAATTACTAAATTTACTTTAATACTAGTGGGAATTATGTTTTTTATAGCTAAACAGTAAAATAATTTAATTGTTATAAAATAATTTGTTGAATAAATCACATTTGCAACGTTTGGGTATTTTTCTGGTATTGACAAAATATATACCCAAATGATGCTCATGTACCTTATTCATTTATTTGTCAGTATTGTTTGCCATTAATAAAAAAAAATAATTTGTTGTTTAGTCGGTGTTAAGTTTTCTTCCTAGTATTACATCTCACTAATTTGCACATAGAAGGAGATTTTTTTAGTTTACAGTCCGAATAAATTTGCATGAGCTGTAGATTGTTTATAAATACGTACTGAATTCATTCCTTTATTGTTTTAACATTTTTCTTCCTTTCTTTTCTGTGCTTGTATTTAGTAATTTAGTCTCGTGCAACAGTATTGTGCTAGTTTTAGAAAATGATTAGTAGGGTACTTCTAATATAATGCTGTATTAATATTGCATTTTATTATAACTACTGTTAAGATGAGAGTATTCATACTTTTTTAAATGTTTGATTTTGTCAAGGGTAAATAAAGTTTATATATATATATATATATATATATATATATATATAATATATATATATATATATATATATATATATATATATATATATAATATATATATATATTTTTTTTTTTTTTTAACAAGTCGGCCGTCTCCCACCGAGGCATTTTTTTTTTTTGAACTGATCAAATGTCCAGTGGATAGTGATATTACTTAAACATTATTCACAGTACTGTACACTTGAACAAAAGACATTCATTTAACCTGTTTCACATTAAAATTCATTTCCTTTATTAGTCCTAAGGTAATAAATGTTCGTGTAATATCTTCACCTTGATCTTGGCAACAAAATATTGTATTATCATACTAATACTGGGAATCTGTTTTGTTGAATGCAGCTTGCTTGCCAGATGAGTGGAGGTGTTTAGATGGTCAGTGCATTTTAAGTAGCTATCATTGTGATGGACGATCAGACTGCTTTGACTATTCGGATGAGGTTAACTGCATGCCAAGTAAGAGAATTTCCTTAATTTTTAATAACTATCTGTTTCTGTATTTGAGCATCTCTTTCTTGTGGTATGTAAAGTTGTAAGCAAAAATTTTTAATTAACCCTTTGACTGTTTCGGTCATATACATACGTCTTACGAGCCAATGTGTTTGACGTATATATACACTCAAAAATTCTAGTGGCTTCAAATCAAGCAGGAGAAAGCTGGTAGGCCCACATGTGAGAGAGTGGGTCTGTGTAGTCAGTGTGCACTGTATAAAAAAAATCCTGCAGCACGCAGTGCATAATGAGAAAAAAAAAAACTCCGACCATGTTTTTGGATTAAAATGCTGACTTTGAGGTGTATTTTCGTATAGTTTTTATGGTTATATTCTCATTTTTGTAGTCCCATTTGATAGAATGGAAAACATGTTATAGAAATAGAGGTTTTACTATGAAAAGGACCTTGAAATGGAGCTCAAAGTAGGGGAAATGTTTGATTTTTGCCGATGTTCAAAAGTAAACAAATTTTGTCATTGTCCAATAAATGTCCAAGTAGCCATTCTAATATGCAGTCATGAATGGGTTGACATTATTTATACAATTATTACAATATTGCAGTAGTCTGCATATCAGTAAATCTTCTCTTTTTTGTTTGAATAAAAATTCAAAATAGAAAGCAAGAGTAATATCAGAGGGGCCTGGAGATATGACTGATGAACAAAGAAAATGTTATTTTACAGCCAGGAATGTCTGCATTGTTCATTCTGGACCCTATTTTGAAATTGGCATATTTTTTAATTTGTGTGAAATTGGTCAAATTGCAAATTTCTGACCACTTTATTGGGTAGTTGAAATCAATAAATGGGCAGTTTCTTGTACTCAGTCAATAGAACAAATGGAGTTCTAAAGAAATATTTATGAGTTTGGTCTACTAGAACAATGGAATTAGCTGAAAATAGGGCTCAAAGTGGGTGAAATTGCCGATTCTTAAATATCGCCGAGGTTGCTAACTTTGCGAGAGTGTAATTCCGTAAGTTTTCCATCAGATTTCGTACTTTTATTGTCATTACCATCGGGAGAAGATTCTCTATCATTTCATAAGAAAAAATAATTTTTTTTTTTTTTTTTTCAAATATTTTGCGACACCAGGAGACACCTCCAGGATTTGGGGTTGTGACAGTCAAAGGGTTAATCTCTGAGTTAAAAAAAAAAAAAAAACTCTCAAGGTGAGTAAAATTACTTTAGATTTGTTGCCTTTATTCATTGTGTTGTGAAGGTAAGTGAAGAAATGGTGAAAACAATACTTTTAATGAAAATGGTGAGTATGTGATATCTTTTATTTCTTCTGGCCCTCTTTAGCAAATTAGCTTTTATTTGCTTGTATTTTGTCAGTTTAATTTTATTTACATGCTTTTTTGCCTTGTGGAAAGTTTGTTATGTGACCTTTTTGTGTTGGTTTATTATGGAACAATTTTATACCCATTAATAAGAGTTGATTTCTTTTTGTTAGCTCCACAAACCCCAGTGTCTTCCTGCCTTAGTAACCAGTTTGAATGTAGGAATGGAAAATGTATTCCTCGAACTTATCTTTGTGATGGAGTCCCTGACTGTGAAGATGGATATGATGAGTCAGATAGTCAATGTGGTATGTTATTTTGTCTTATTTTGTTCTTCTTGAAATTGGCCTTCAGATGCTGTCTTTTTTTTTAATTTTCCTTCAAGCTTTTTCTACATATATTGAAATGTTCGTTTAATAATAATGTTGCATTAGCAAATTTTATTACTGTAGTAATTAAGCAATCTTGTTGGTTGCATGTTTAGATTTACCTGAAGTGGTTTCAGTATTTAGTGCATGTCATGGTTAAAAAAAATATTTTGCAAATTGTTTTAATAACATAAAAGTAGTTCAGTAATTTACATTCTCATTTGTTAATTTCTTTAGCATGCTTGATGCATAACAAGATTATTTTTTTGTAGTTTTGCAATTACAAAGCCTGCATATTAAATTTTGTTTAGAAGTAAAAAATGATCAAGTCGTACTCTTTTTTTTTTGTTAAGCCACCATGATGTGTATTATATATTCAACATTGTTTATTTTTTTTTTTTTAAAAGCATTAGATTTTCAGTATTTTTTTTTTAAGTGAATGTGAGTTCATGATATAATATTTATGAATATTGTCCTCTGACATACATAATATATATTTTTGCTTGCTTTCTACAGAGTTTTGAAAAGTGAATAAACTATAAATAAGAATAACTTCTCATAATATTTCTCTGTCATAGGTATAAACAGTGGTAAAAATATTATAGCTAAAAGTGGATAAGTTTTATCTATAAAAAATATGAGTAAATAACAAAAAAGTGTCATTAGAGTAAACAGTTTTCAGGAATCATGAACTTTTTAAATGTTTTCTTTAACATTTGATATGCATTTTTTAATTTGTTTATCCTTTCTCTCTGAGTTATTAATCTATTGCTTACTCTCATTCCAAGATGTGCTTAACATTTTTGGTTTTGCTAAATTGCCTCTTGATTAGCTTTCATGTTTGTCTTGTAGCGAACTTAGCTTTTTGAAGTAGTGCTTTCAATGCCTCTCCTGTAGTATGTTCCCAGATGTCTTCATGTGATATGGTGTTGTTTATGCTTCTTGTCTAAAGTTAATTTGATCCCGACAGCCTCATCCCCCACCCAGTGTTCAAGCAACCAGTTCGCATGCAACAATGGGGAATGTGTTGATATTGTCCAAAGGTGTGATAGCAAATTTGATTGCGTTGACAATTCTGATGAGATTGGATGTCCTGCAGGCTCAGGTTAGCTGTGTCTTATTTATTATTAGGCTATGGCTCTTTACTTGTAGTATCTCCAAACATTATAGATGAATGCTTAGTCTCGCATTTTTGATGTTCTATACTAAATATCAATATACCACTAAACGTAATTCCCATAACACCTTAAAACCCATAAAAGCGTTATTTTTTATTAAAATTATATCGTAATCCATTCTTGACTCTAGATACAGTATACCCAGTTTATGTGACTCATTTTTAATACTGTAACAAAAAACATCATCAGTGTAATAAACATTGTACTGTACAGTATATGTATATGGTCAGTGGCCTCTGCTAAAATTACTAGCTTACAGTAGGTAGCTGGTTTGAGAATTCATTATATAGCTATCCAAATGAGGTTGCTAATGTGGAGGACTTGCTGTATGCTTGACCCTGGTTCGAATCCCTGCATTTCTCTCAAAGTGAAATATATACTGTAGCTCATTGATTACCTGGCAATAGACTAGTTGGCTTCTAACATTCTCTTGCAGCCTTGTTTAACTTTTAAAATGTTGTAAAATGTAGCAATAGCTGTAAAATCACTACCTCAGTCAGTTGTTGACCAGCACATGATCTACCCACAGTTGAATAATAATAATAATAATAATAATAATAATAATAGTGTAATAGTTTATTTCTGCAGGGTTTTACAAAGTTGGATGACATTTAATAGTACTTGTGGGAAGCCCCTGATTAAGTAAAGCATTTCAGGCAAGCTAAATATAAAACAAAAGACTAATAGAGCATGTTAAATATTACTTATATATGTACTTAGAGACATCTACATTTCCAGTCCTCATTTAAAATGCAAGCACTACCCTTTCCACCTTCAGAACTCAAGTTTGGCTAATCAGTTTCCCCGAATCTCTTCATAAAAATTATCTTGCTCACACTAAAGCAGCACATCCATTAAAAGCCACTTGTCTTCATTCGCAGCTACCTAATGTGCTAACACATCTATTGGATACTGAAGTCTCTAAAACTTAAAACAAGTTTTACCCTCCTTCCTTCATCCATTTCTGAGAACTCCTACCCCTCCTACATTCCACCCTGGATTATACACTCTGTCATTCTATACCCCTTTATCCTCTCAAACCACCTCAACAAACCCTCCTCATCTCGCTGAATTATATCTTTGGATTTCTGTGCTCCAGATTCCTTGCATAATATTCACACTACACTTTGCTCTTTAACATGACCTCTTCACTACCTTCAGCCTCCTCCTCATTACAAAATTCAAAATCCATATCTCATACCAAATAAAAGTATTGTATCACTGTACAACAAATGCCTCAATACTCTCTACTCTCCCATCTATTCTATGGTTCATCTCATATTTCATAGACTTATCTCTCAAGTAACTAAATACATCCATTTCCTCCATACTCCCTCTCTCCCTCCCTCTAATCTGATATTCAGTCTATCAGGGGCCCTAGACTTTTGGTTACTCTCATCACTGTGCTCTTTTGTATGTTCACTTTTAATTTTCTACTTTTATGTACCTTTCCAAAGTCAAACATCAATATCTGCAACTTGTTGTCAGACCCTCCCAGGAGAACTGTGACATAGGCATAAGTAATACTTCAGTTTTCTTTGAAACCTTCAGAGTTTCATATGTAATTTTCTTTGAGCATCATCAGCATTAATTTTGCTTTCCATGGTAATCTCCAGAGATGAGATGCCGATGATGATAACATCCAAAATCTTTTGATCAGTATAATGGGTAAGTCAAGCGACTCAGGGCCTTCCCGGCACAAAAAGCATGGCCTTGTCCTGCACCACTGCATGGCCATCATCAGTTTCATTCATCACTTTAGTCCACCACAATTTAGGGTGTGTGCATTGAGGGTTTCCAGTACAAATCAAATTTAGGATGCACTTTTTCAATTGTATATTGCTGAATTAGAATTATCAGGAGTTTAATGTATTTGAGAGAGAGGAGTTTGATAAGGTAAATTAATGATTGTATAACATTCAGAGGGAAATCTTGATGAAAAGTGACCATGAAAAAAAATTAACTGGAGATTTTAACTGTACAAAAATAAATTACGCTATCTTTAAGGCTGAATCTGTCAATAAATGGTTATATAAACCATCTTTTGAAAGCAGCAACAAGAAAGAGTTAATAATATTCTGTTTGAAATAACATATGCAGTATCATATGACTTAGAAGATGAAAATGGAATGCATAAACAGGAAGATGAGAGCATAAGAAAGGAAAATATAATGCTTTAAAACTGTATTTTAGAGAAACTAAATGGAATAAAATATTACAAGGAACATGCATCCATCAATAATTTGTATAAAGAGTTCTACAGCAAATATGAAAATGGAATTAAACAACTTATTCCAAAAAGAAATATGAAATGATATAATGAGGCAAAGAAGGGAATGTATGAAAGTATAGTAGTACCAACACTCTTATATGGATGTGAAGCTTGGGTGGTAAATGCAGCAGCGAGGAGACGGTTGGAGGCAGTGGAGATGTTACACAATACACAAATAACCCGCACATAAAAGAGAGAAGCTTACGACGACGTTTCGGTCCGACTTGGATCATTGACAAAGTCACACATGTCAGTGTGACTTTGTCAATGGTCCAAGTCGGACCGAAACGTCGTCGTAAGCTTCTCTCTTTTATGTGCGGGTTATTTGTGTATCGTTCCAGTCACGGTATTGTGCCTTTTTTTTTGTTATTAGTGGAGATGTCCTGTCTAAGGGCAATGTGTGGTGTAAATATTATGCAGAAAATTCGGAGTGTGGAAATTAGGAGAAGGTGTGGAGTTAATAAAAGCATTAGTCAGAGGGCAGAAGAGGGGTTGTTGAGGTGGTTTGGTCATTTAGAGAGAATGGATCAAAGTAGAATGACATGGAAAGCATATAAATCTATAGGGGAAGGAAAGAGGGGTAGGGGTCGTCCTCAAAAGGGTTGGAAAGAGGGGGTAAAGGAGGTTTTGTGGGCGAGGGGCTTGGACTTCCAGCAAGCGTGCATGAGCGTGTTAGATAGGAGTGAATGGAGACGAATGATACTAGGGACCTGACGATCTGTTGGAGTGTGAGCAGGATAATATTTAGTGAAGGGATTCAGGGAAACCGGTTATTTTCATGTAGTCGGACTTGAGTCCTGGAAATGGGAAGTACAATGCCTGTACTTTAAAGGAGGGGTTTGGGATATTGGCAGTTTGGAGGGATATGTTGTGTATCTTTATACGTATATACTTCTAAGCTGTTGTATTCTGAGCACCTCTGCAAAAGCAGTGATAATGTGTGAGTGTGGTGAAAGTGTTGAATGATGATGAAAGTATTTTCTTTTTGGGGTTTTTCTTTCTTTTTTGGGTCACCCTGCCTCGGTGGGAGACGACCGACTTGTTGAAAAAAAAAAAAAATAATGAAGACTGAGTTAATAGAAGACAAATGACACAAAGCCAGTGGGTGATGAAAAAGACATATTTGCAGAAAGGAACTTGACTGAGACGATTCACCTGTGATCAGGTTTCTTCAGTCAGTTTGAAGAAGCCTGTCCACAGGAAAAAGTTCCTATTAATAAAGTTCCTCTCTGCAGTAGGCCTACATTGTATAGAAATATGAGGTGAGAGGTAAAAAGAAACTTTAAAAACAATATACAGGAGCAGTGTACATATAACCAAATCTTGTTTTCTATATTGTAAAATGTAAACTATCAGAGACAAAATGGGAAGAATTAGGGACAATAACAAAATCATAAAGTAGAGGAGGAAATATGCAAAACATTAAATAGAAAGTTTGAGTGTTTTCACAAAAGAAGATATTTTATATGTACTAGCACATTTTAATCCTTAACCCTTTGACTGTTTTGGTCGTATATATACGTCTTACGAGCCAGTGTTTCAGACATATATATACTCAATAATTCTAGCAGCTTCAAATCAAGCGGAAGAAAGCTGGTAGGCCCACATGTGAGAGAATGGGTCTGTGTGGTCAGTGTGCACCACATAAAAAAAATCCTGCAGCACACAGTGCGTAATGAGAAAAAAAAAACTGATCGTTTTTTTTTGGATTAAAACGCCGACTTTGAGGTGTATTTTCGTATAGTATTTATCGATGTATTTGCGTTTTCATGGTCTTAGGTGATAAAATGGAAAAAAATATTACAGAAATAGAGATGATTTTCATTACTTTGAAGATGAAAACGTCCTTGAAACTGAGCTCAAAGTAGCGGAAATGTTCGATTTTTACCAATGTTCAGGAGTAAACAAATCACACCACACGTCCAATACACGTCAACTGGGGAGTCCAATATTCTTTCACTAGTGCACTGATATTATTTATACCATTTTTATAATAATGCAGTAGTCTGCATAACAGTAAATTTTGTATTTTTTTGTATGAATAAAAAATCAAAATAGAAAGCAATAATAATATAAGAGGGGCCTAGAGATGTGACTAATGAACAGAGGATATGTTATTTTAGTGCCAAGAATGTCTACCTTGTTTATTCTGGACCCTATTTTGAAACTGGCATCTTTTTAGTTTGCATGAAATTGGCCAAATTGCCAATTTCTGACCACAATATTGGGTAGTCCAAATTGGTAAATGGGAGGTTTCTTGTACTCAGCTGATAGATAAAATGGAGTTCTAAAGAAATAGCTATGAGTTTGGTCAACTGGCACAAAGGAATTGGCTGAAAATAGGGCTCAAAGTCGGCGAAATCGCCGATACGCATATGTCGCTGAGACCGCTAACTTTGCAGGAGCGTAATTCCATGAGTTTTCTACCAAATTTCGAACTTTTGGTGTCATTACCATCGGGAAAAGATTCTCTATCATTTCATAAGAAAAAAATATTTTTTTTTTTTTTTTTTTTTCAAAAATTTAGTGACATAGAATGACAGTTTCAGAAAGGGGCCTGAAACAGTCAAAGGGTTAATAAACAGCTGAAATGGAGAATATCTTAATATATGAAGAAATAAATAGTTAAAACTAGATGCTTACAAAATAGAAGAAAGTACCAAATGGGATAGCATCTTGGGTTTTAAAAGTATGTTCAGAAGATTTCACTACAAAAAGATAAATTGGAAAACAGATGGAAGATAGCACATATTGTATCAGTGTTTCAAAAAGGTGACAGGAAGTGTTGTAAAATTACTAGAAGAAACCATTAGGAAAAAAAGTTGATTAAACACTAAGCAAACAAAAACCTACTCATAGGCAGACAATTTGGTTTTCAGTTTGCAAATTCATTTATATATCGAATATTTATTTATAAACTAAAATATCACATAATTGCAAAAGTAAGATTATGAGGGAACAATAATTGTTTGGTTTACAAACTGCTGTTCCCATGGGCATGAGGTGAGCATGTACTAGGATTCGAACCTCTGTCTGCATATAGCATATAATTACATATGTAGAATCCATATTACTAACTGCTTTATATGCATGCTCAAGGTTTTCACTAACTATCGTATAACCCATTTAGACTATTATCTGGATGATAGTAATCTCAATTACTTTCAGTTTATTAACTGAAATGACTTGTTAATAAATTACAGTAATTTATTAAAGAGGCTTTACATAGATGGAAATGTTTTAGGACTGGTGAAAATTTTAGGAGTTAAAATAGCTGAATTTGGTTAATCATTTATTTTTATAGCATCCATGGCTGGTTTGTTTTGCATTTCACACTTTCTACTTTTTTTTTTTCTTTTTTTTGTATACAATTTGAAAATGTTTATATAAAACATATTTATAGATTTCTGAAATATTCTAAAGTCATTCCTACTTTCTATCAGAATTGTACATTATATGATAGTTAACTATGAAGTCATATTATTTCTTTACATTTACTATAATGTCTAGTTCAGTTAATCTGGTATATTTAATCACCTATAGTGACAACATTTAGCACAAAACTTAGGTTAAGTTTGTTAAATAATAATAAAAACTCATACAAAATCTAATACTATTCATAAAAATAACATGGTTTTAAGGAAATTTTATATTTCTTATTTTTACTGGTACATTGATATATGATATTTTATGCAGATGAACACCTTTCTAAACTGTCATACTGTATGTGAAAAAACATGTAGTAATGTGATCAAAATAAAAATATTAGTCATTTTTCCATGTTATACATTTGTATTTAAACTTGTGTGTTTCTTTTTTTGTGTAAAAATTTCAAGTTGAAACTGTTTGAAGTTTTATATGTTTTGAATGTTGTTTGTAGCATATAGAAAAACCAGTGTTTTTGACTACTATTTATGTCTATATTGTTAAACCAAAGTTTGTCACTAATGTTTTGTGCTGTACTTCCTAGCTGGTGGTACGTGTACAGAGAATGAATTCAGGTGCTTAGATGGTGCTTGCATAGAAAAGACATGGCAGTGTGACAGTGTTCCTGACTGTGGTGATGCCTCCGACGAAACTAATTGTAGTATGTTCCACTTAATGCCAGCATTCATTTTCATGTTTCTGTGTTGACACAAATGAAGAAGTACAGTAAACTTTTGATATAACGAATGTTTAACCCTTAAACTGTCCAAATGTAGAAGTACATTTGCACCGCTAGTGCTCCAAACGTAGATCTACGTTTTATTTTTCCTGCCTCCAAATTTGGCATGATTGGCCTGAGATGCCTGGTCAGTATAGAATGGGTCTTAACTCTTGGTGTGCACATTACAGTGGACCCTCGCCTAACGCTATTAATCCGTTCATGAGAGCTCAAAGTTAGGCGAAATTATCGTTAGGCGAATTAATTTTCCCCATAAGAAATAATGGAAATCAAATTAATCCGTTCCTGACACCCCAAAGTATGAACAAAAAAAATTTTTTACCACATGAAATATTAATTTTAATACACACAAACTGAAGAAGACATGCACAGTTACATGACACTTAACTTTATTGAAGATCTGGTGATGATTGATGGGATGGGAGGAGGGGAGACTGTGGATGGTGTTAATGTTTAGAAGGGGAATCCCCTTCCATTAGGACTTGAGGTGGCAAGTCCTTTTCTGGGGTTACTTCCCTTCTTCTTTTAATGCCACTAGGACCAGCTTGAGAGTCACTGGACCTCTGTCGCACAACATATCTGTCCATAGAAGCCTGTACCTCCCGTTCCTTTATGACATTCCTAAAGTGTTTCACAACATTGTTAGTGTACAGGTTGCCAACACGGCTTGCAATAGCTGTGTGAGGGTGATTTTCATCAAAAACGGTTTGCACTTTAAGCCACATTACACACATTTCCTTATTCTTTGAAGTAGACAACTTCTTCAATTTCTCTATCCCCTCCTCCGGGGCATAGGATTCCCAGGGTTAGCCTCAAACCCTTCAAAATCCCTTTTGTCTACACATTCTGGCCACAGTTTCTTCCAAGCAGAGTTCAAGGTCCTCTTAATCACTTCCTCTCAAGCCTTACCTATAATGTTTACACAATTGAGGATGCTAAAGTGATCTCTCCAAAACTCTCTTAGAGTCAATTGAGTTTCTGAGGTCACTACAAAGCACCTTTCAAACATAGCTTATGTGTACAGTTTCTTGAAGTTGGAAATGACCTGGTGGTCCATGGGCTGCAGGAGAGGAGTGGTATTAGGAGGCAAAAACTTGGCCTTAATGAAGCTCATTTCCACAGAAAGTCGCTCTGCCACGTCTGAAGGATGAGCAGGAGCATTGTCTAATACCAGGAGGTACTTAAGGTCTAATTTCTTTTCAGTTAGGTAATTTTTCACAGTGGGGGCAAATGCATGGTGTAACCAGTCATAGAAAAAGTCCCTAGTGACCCATGCCTTACTGTTTGCCCTCCACAGCACACACAAATTAGCCTTGAGGACATTGTTTTTCCTGAACACTCTGGGAGTTTCAGAGTGATACACCAATAAAGGCTTCACTTTGCAATCACCACTAGCATTAGCACACATCAACAGAGTAAGCCTGTCTTTCATAGGCTTATGTCCTGGGAGTGCCTTTTCCTCCTCAGTAATGTAGGTCCTGTTTGACATTTTCTTCCAAAACCTGTTTCGTCACAATTAAACACTTGTTCAGGTTTCAGTCCTTCACTGTCTATGTACTCCTTGAATTCCTGCACATATTTTTCAGCCGCTTTGTGGTCCGAACTGGCAGCCTCACCATGCCTTATCACATTATGTATGCCACTACGATTCTTAAATCTCTCAAACCAACCTTTGGTGGCCTTAAATTCACTCACATCATCACTAGTTGCAGGCATTTTTCTAATTAAATCGTCATGCAACTTCCTAGCCATTTCACATATGATCGCTTAAGAGATGCTATCTCCTGCTATCTGTTTTTCGTTTATCCACACCAATAACAGTCTCTCAACATCTTCTATCACTTGTGATCTCTGTTTCGAAAACAAAGTTGCACCTTTGGCAAGAACAGCTTCCTTGATTGCTGTTTTCTTGGCCACAATAGTAGCGATGGTTGATTGGGGTTTTGCGTACAACCTGGCCAGCTCGGAGACACGTACTCCACTTTCATACTTAGCAATGATCTCTTTCTTCATATCCATAGTAATTCTCACCCTTTTTCCTGTAGGGTTGGCACTAGAAGCTTTCTTGGGGCCCATGGTGACTTATTTTGCAGGTGCAATCACTAAAAAGGCTGTGATAATATGAAATGTTCCGATTGTATGCTTGGAAGCGACCGCGGTGGCTGGCTTGTAAACACTGGCACCCATGGAACAAGTGAGGCGGGCTCAGGCCGCACGTGGACGCATCTCGAATGAATCGTTTTGAGCGAGTTTTTTAGCGCTAGCCGAGGCAAAATTTTTGCGTTGAAATGTATTGCTAGGCAGATTTAACGTTATGCGATGCGTTCGTTAGGCGAGGGGCCACTGTATTAAAAAAATTTGGGACCACTTAGTACCTTGTGGGAACAGCAGTTCAATTGAGCACCAGCTAGAGCAAATAGCATGGCAAACACCTGGAATTCACTGATGTGATGTCATATTAACATTCCCCTTTTAAGAGAAAAGTGATGGATGTGGCCACAAGTGGTTGAGGAAATATAAAAAAAAATCTTGATAATAACCCATGTGTAACATTTGTGCAACATCCTTTCATTTCTGATACCACTGGCTATCTCTCTGTGTGTATCTGTCTGTCTACGTCTCTATCAGTCTATATCTGTCTATATCTCTGTCTCTCTCTCACATGTACACATAAGTACGGTTATTATACATAGTGTAAATTACCTAGGATAACCCCAAAATTCCAGGCAAAGTGCTGTACAGTGTTTGTAGATATAAGACATAATAAGCATGACTGGTTACTCAGTGGCAAGTAATACACATTTTCACTTCATCAGGAATCAGACGTGACCACTGCATCGTGTGTAAAACCTGTTGGTTTACGAGCCGCTCTCTAAGACTGAAAGACAAGCAGACGGAAAGGCACACACACTGGCAGACAGAAAGACTGAGACACACAGGTAGACAGAAAGACAGACACACACAGGCAGACAGACAGACACACAGGCACAGAAAGACAGAAAGACACAGGCAGACAGAAAGAGACACACACAGGTAGATAGAAAGACATAAGCAGAGCTAGACAGATAGACAGACAGGCAGATACAGTAGGGCCCCACTTATACGGCAGGTTAGGTTCCAGGCTACCGCCGTAAAGCGGAAATCGCCGTAAGGTGGAACACCCTTTTTTTTCCCACTTATAAATGCATACAAATACTAGATAACAAGTTTACACTAACATATATTAAGTTACCAATAGAACTCGTCATCAAAAAACAATAAAAAAGTACAATACAAACATAGTGCACTCATTACTTACCTTAAAATATTTATAGTCTTAATCTAGGGTGAGACAAGTAGTATTTATTGTAAGAAATCAAGTGTGGTATGTATGGTAGTCAGCCGGGCTACCATACCAGGCCACAAAATATTCTATTACATTTAAGCATCCCAGAGCGATAAAATGCATATACAATTTACTCATTACTTACCTTAAAATATTTGTAGTCTTAATCTAGGGTGAGATGAGTAGTATTTATTGTAAAAATCAAGTGTGGTGTGTATGGTAGTCAGCCGGGCTACCATACCAGGCCAACCCACCCACACATATATTCTATGATATTTAAGCATCCCAGAGCGATAAAATGTATATACAGTTCACTCATTACTTACCTTAAAATATCTGTAGTCTTAATGTATGGTCAGGAGTAAGTAAATGAGATAAAATGAATAAATGAGAGAGAGAAAGAATGAAGGTAAGTTTTGTGAACAAACAAAGTGTACACGTCTGGTTTGTGTACAAGTTACATTGTGTACAAGTTGTCTCTACATTGATACGGTAGAATAAATAAAGAAGAACACTCCCATTCTCATGTAACATCATTTTGGGAAGAAATGACGCTCTGAGTGAAAGCAATGGAAATAAGTCACTCTGTCTGACCTTTTTGGGTTATCCTAGGTTCTCTACACATATGCTGTTATGTATGATAATCTATGTAACTGTATTTGTGTATACCTGAATAAACTTACTTATATACATACAAAAGGAATAATTTTCTACAGTTACCCCCAGTAACACATTTTCTCTTATGTTAGACTAGAGAAAATATTATTCTTGCCGTCACTTGTACAAGTTATCTGGCTACCACATCTCATATTCATGTTTATTTATTCTATTGTGGGGTGTATTTATCATCTTTATATGTTATGTATTGTGTTTATTATATAATTTTGAAAAAATATCATGGATGGATAAATGAAAATGTGTATATTAACGTAATATACGACATTTAATGAGACTCAGTGATTATTATTATTATTATTATTATTATTATTATTATTATTATTATTATTATTATTATTATTATTATTATTATTATTATTATCATTATTATCATCATTTCTAATATGGCGTCACTTGTGCAAGGCGTCTGGCTACCACATCTCATATTTATGTTTATTTATTCTACTGTGGGGTGTATTTATCGTATTTATATGTTATGCATCATGTTTATTATATAATTTTGAAAAAATGTCATAGTGGATTAATGAAAATGTGTATATTAACGTAATATACGAAATTTAAATGAGACTCGGTGATTATTATTATCATTACTAATATGACATCTCGAGACATAAGACACTCTTACTGATTTTAATGTGAACCTGCATGCCAGCACGGTATGTAAGTTTATTTAGATACAGGTATACATAAGTATAATTATCAGAGTATATATATAAAATATGAAATAACTTTTAAAAACACTTGAAATTTTGGAGTTTCCAGACAAAATGGAGAGACTTAGTGCTTACTGAGCTCACGGAGAATGTAAACAAACAGGGTGGGGCGCGGTGACCGTATTAGAAAGTCAGGTGGGGGGAGCTGTATAGCAAATTTTGGTCATAATTTGAAATGACCGTATTAGCGGAACGCTGTAAAGCGAAACGCCATAAAGCGGGGCCCTACTGTATACATGTTTGTGTGTAACAGTGATAACAAATAAAGCCAGGGTTCCCTGCAACAGTGCACTATCATTGTGTCACTCCACCGCTTACCCTGTCAGCAGTTTACCAACACTTGTCATAAAGATAATGCTTCGAGAAGTTTCATATATACTCCAGCATGTCTAAAACATTGCTGAGACCTATAAATACTTTGTATATATTTATCGACAATAGTAAATGACCTAGACAGGTGAAAATGTACACCTGTCAGTGTGATTGTGACTATTTGAGTACTATTTCAGTACCTAATATTAGTGTCAGAACAAAGATTGGCTATGAAATCACAAGAACTATTATAAATTGTAATTATCAGAACATAATTTTTTTTTTTTCAACAAGTCGGCCGTCTCCCACCAAGGCAGGGTGACCCAAAAAAGAAAGAAAATCCCCAAAAAGAAAATACTTTCATCATCATTCATCACTTTCAACTCACTCACACATAATCACTGTTTTTGCAGAGGTGCTCAGAATACAACAGTTTAGAAGCATATACATATAAAGATAGACAGCATATCCCTCCAAACTGTAGTAGGTTGGTAGACAGCAACCACCCAGGGAGGTACTACCATCCTACCAAGTGAGTGTAAAACGAAAGCCTGTATTTGTTTTAGATGATGGTAGGATTGCTGGTGTCTTTTGTCTGTCTCATAAATATGCAAGATTACAGGTACGTCTTGCTACTTCCACTTACACTTGGGTCACACTTCACATACATGTACACGTTTATTTATACACACTTGTCTGAGTTTTCTTTGATTTTATTTTAATAGTTCTTGTTCTTATTACTTTTCCTTTTATATCCATGGGGAAGTGGAATAAGAATCTTTCCTCCGTAAGCCATGCATGTTGTAAAAGTCAACTAAAATGCCGGGAACAATAGGCTAGTAACCCCTTTTCCTGTAATAATTGCTAAAAAGAATAAGAAGAACTGCTTTCACTGCTTCACTGCTTTCAGTAACCTACCTCCTACACCATACACCTGCAACATCTGCCACATTGCCCCCCTATCCACCCTGTCATATGCCTTTTCCAAATCCATAAATGCCACAAAGACCTCTTTAGCCTTATCTAAATACTGTTCACTTATATGTTTCACTGTAAACACCTGGTCCACACACCCCCTTACCTTTCTTAAAGCCTCCTTGTTCATCTGCTATCCTATTCTCCATCTTACTTTTAATTCTTTCAATAATAACTCTACCATACACTTTACCAGGTATACTCAACAGACTTCTTCTTCTTTTCTTTCAACGTACCAGCCGTATCCCACTGAGGTGGGGTGGCCCAAAAGAAAAAACTGAAGTTTCTCCTTTAAAATTTAGTAATATATACAGGAGAAGGGGTTACTAGCCCCTTGCTCCCGGCATTTTAGTCGCCTCTTACGACACACATGGCAGATAAGAGGAAATAAACAAGAACAAGAATTAGAAAGAAAATAGAAGAAAACCCAGAGGGGTGTGTATATATATGCTTGTACATGTATGTGTAGTGTGACCTAAGTGTAAGTAGAAGTAGCAAGACTTACCTGTAATCTTGCATATTTATGAGACAGACAAAAGACACCAGCAATCCTACCATCATGTAAAACAATTACAGGCTTTCGTTTTACACTCACTTGGCAGGACGGTAGTACCTCCCTGGGCGGTCGCTGTCTACCAACCTACTACCTACCACTCAACAGACTTATCCCCCTATAATTTTTGCACTCTCTTTTGTCCCCTTTGCCTTTATACTGAAAGCAGTGAAGAGTTTTTACGAGGATAGTGAGGCTCAAGTTAGAGTATGTAGGAAAGAGGGAAATTATTTCCCAGTAAAAGTAGGCCTTAGACAAGGATGTGTGATGTCACCATGGTTGTTTAATATATTTATAGATGGGGTTGTAAGAGAAGTAAATGCGAGGGTCTTGGCAAGAGGCGTGGAGTTAAAAGATAAAGAATTACACATAAAGTGGGAGTTGTCACAGTTGCTCTTTGCTGATGACACTGTGCTCTTGGGAGATTCTGAAGAGAAGTTGCAGAGATTGGTTGATGAATTTGGTAGGGTGTGCAAAAGAAGAAAATTAAAAGTGAATACAGGAAAGAGTAAGGTTATGAGGATAACAAAAAGATTAGGTGATGAAAGATTGGATATCAGATTGGAGGGAGAGAGTATGGAGGAGGTAAATGTATTCAGATATTTGGGAGTGGACGTGTCAGCGGATGGGTCTATGAAAGATGAGGTGAATCATAGAATTGATGAGGGGAAAATGGTGAGTGGTGCACTTAGGAGTCTGTGGAGACAAAGAACTTTGTCCTTGGAGGCAAAGAGGGGAATGTATGAGAGTATAGTTTTACCAACGCTCTTATATGGGTGTGAAGCATGGGTGATGAATGTTGCAGCGAGGAGAAGGCTGGAGGCAGTGGAGATGTCATGTCTGAGGGCAATGTGTGGTGTGAATATAATGCAGAGAATTCGTAGTTTGGAAGTTAGGAGGAGGTGCGAGATTACCAAAACTGTTGTCCAGAGGGCTGAGGAAGGGTTGTTGAGGTGGTTCGGACATGTAGAGAGAATGGAGCGAAACAGAGTGACTTCAAGAGTGTATCAGTCTGTGTGGAAGGAAGGCGGGGTAGGGGTCGGCCTAGGAAAGGTTGGAGGGAGGGGGTGAAGGAGGTTTTGTGTGCGAGGGGCTTGGACTTCCAGTAGGCATGCGTGAGCGTGTTTGATAGGAGTGAATGGAGACAAATGGTTTTTAATACTTGACGTGCTGTTGGAGTGTGAGCAAAGTAACATTTTTTGAAGGGGTTCAGGGAAACCGGCAGGCCGGACTTGAGTCCTGGAGATGGGAAGTACAGTGCCTGCACTCTGAAGGAGGGGTGTTAATGTTGCAGTTTAAAAACTGTAGTGTAAAGCACCCTTCTGGCAAGACAGTGATGGAGTGAATGATGGTGAAAGTTTTTCTTTTTCGGGCCACCCTGCCTTGGTGGGAATCGGCCAGTGTGATAATAAATAAATAATAAAAAATAAGAAGAACATTAAAAATATATAAATTAAAATAAAACCGAGAAAAAAAGGGTATATCAGCAACACTTCTGCAAGTGGTAGGGGTCGATGTTGCTGTCAGGTGAGCATCCAGCCTCAATATCACGGGCTTATATCTTGGTAAGTACTGACCCTAAAATTTTTTTTTATCTTATAACATGAAGAAAAATGCACTCTTCATTAAAAAAAAAAAAAAAAATTCAAAATATCTGGAGCGCTACGCAAGTGAACGTAGATTTACGTTTGGACAGTTCAACTGTTAATCGAGCCATAGCATTCACGGAGGTGTCTAAATCATCATTGGCACCATCGTTTTCTTTAGAAGTCATTGTTAATAACTCTGTACAGAGCACTTTAATAAAATGATTAAAAATGTTGTAAATCCATAGAAAATTTGAAACAAAGTGATGGTATGTGAGTTTATGCACAGAGAATAACAGACCCTGGTTGAGTTACTGGCTCCACTGCTCAGGAATAATGAAACTGGATGTGTCCAGGATGAAGCCCAAACTGGACAAACTTGTAAGTAAGCAGAGTTGGTCCATTTTATTGATGGTACAACTGGACTGGATAGCTGTACAACATGGCAAATTTGGGCTCCCCATTAAATGTACATGTTGAGTCTTTGTCCAGCCAAATTTGTTGTCAATTTTAGATGCTATCTGCTTTATAGAGGTCCGTTTTATCTAGTTTACTGTACTGTTCTTTTGGTGTATATTGAAGTCAGGGGAGCTGGGTTTATAAGATATTGGGATACCTTTCTTAGATCTCAGTGTCCAAAACAAGTCTAGTTTTAGAATGCACCACGCAAATGTAATATAAAAGATTCACTGTTTTGTCCCCTCCAAAAAAATAAATAAATTAGCATTTTTGTGTAATCAGTTTGATTATGAAGTATGGTAATGTAAATATTTTCCCTTTTTGCCCATTTAGGTTGTAGAGCCAACGAGTTCCGATGTGGTAATGGCTTGTGCATCCCAGAATCCCAAAGATGTGATGGAAAATATGACTGTAGAGATGGCTCTGATGAACGCCTTCTTTGTGGTAAGATATTTTCTGTGCAGTAGAATAATTAAAATTTAAGTGATTCATATATTAATTTTTTATCACACTGGTAGGGCAACCCAAAAATAAAGGAAACAGTCATTGTTATTTGAAAGCTGTGTTTCCAAAAGTTAACAGATATCACTGTTCAAATGACCTTATGATCTGTGACACCCCAGCACACCCTTCCCTCACAGTGCAGGAACTGTCTAGCCCAAGGCTGCTCAGTTGGCAGCCCGTGATCCGAATCCGGACCTTCTGAGTGTTCTGGTTGGACCATGAGCTTCAGGAGAAAGCTTAGTTAAATAACAGCTGTTACCACGTTCAGGATCAGGTGGTACACAAGAATGGGCTTGATACATTATTTTATCTGAATGGAATACAGTATTCTATCATAGCTAAATAGTGATATTTTCTTCCATTCAATTGTAATTCATATTTTTAATTATCACTTGTGCAATGAAGTTGACTTTTTTGGCATTTTGGAAAAAGAATTTGGCTGCATGTGGGCTGGGAAGTCTGGCAACCCTGATGCAACTTTGAATTTTGGTAAAGGTTGTGCATTTCTCACAATGTTTGGGTCCACCTACTGCTGCGAGTCTGCGTTTTCAACTTTGAACTTTGTGAAGAACAAGTTCCATTCCTGTATGACCAGTGAACACCTCAAACACTGTCTTTGACTAGCTATTACTCCATTACTACTAAGATTTCAGGAATTAACACAAAGCAAGAAGTGTCATTTTTCTCACTAAACTAGCATAACAGAAAAGTAGTATACAGGCACACACACACAATACAAACACAACTTACCTACAGTCATGCACAGATTACACCAGTCTTGTTGATCTTTACATGTTAAAAATTGAAATTTTTTTTAAATAAAACTTCAAATCCTGTTGTAGTGTTAATTCTGTTAATCAATATATATTAATTTTTCAGTTTGAAAACTCCATTTTAACCAATTTGAGCAAAGAAAGTCCAAAACTTGTTTGATATAATGTAAAAATTAGTTTTTCCTACTATTTATTTTCATATTTCGTAAATTTTATAAGACGTGGACTGAAAATGAGGTTCATAGAAAACGATGAGTACACTGCCCTCTACTCGGATTTATTGCTTCTCATGACTGCATGTAAAACATGTATCCGGACCTTTCCATACAATGGTAATTGTCCAAGTAGACCTTTGCTCATAGTTGAGTAGCCCTGGATTAGCCTCACAGTGCAGCTACTGTCTAGCCTCACAGTGCAGCCACTGTCTAGCCTCACAGTGCAGCCACTGTCTAGCCTCACAATGCAGCCACTGTCTAGCCTCACAGTGCAGCCACTGTCTAGCCTCACAGTGCAGCCACTGTCTAGCCTCACAGTGCAGCCACTGTCTAGCCTCACAGTGCAGTCACTGTCTAGCCTCACAGTGCAGTCACTATCTAGCCTCACAGTGCAGTCACTGTCTAGCCTCACAGTGCAGTCACTGTCTAGTCTCACAGTGCAGTCACTGTCTAGCCTCACAGTGCAGTCACTGTCTAGTCTCACAGTGCAGTCACTGTCTAGCCTCACAGTGCAGTCACTGTCTAGCCTCACAGTGCAGTCACTGTCTAGCCTCACAGTGCAGTCACTGTCTAGCCTCACAGTGCAGTCACTGTCTAGCCTCACAGTGTAGCCACTGTCTAGCCTCACAGTGCAGTCACTGTCTAGCCTCACAGTACAGTCACTGTCTAGCCTCACAGTGCAGTCACTATCTAGCTTCACAGTGCAGTCACTATCTAGCCTCACAGTGCAGTCACTATCTAGCCTCACAGTGCAGTCACTATCTAGCCTCACAGTGCAGTCACTGTCTAGCCTTACAGTGTAGGCACTATCTAACCTCACAGTGCAGTCACTATCTAGCCTCACAGTGCAGTCACTGTCTAGCCTCACAGTGCAGTCATTGTCTAGCCTCACAGTGCAGTCACTATCTAGCTTCACAGTGCAGTCACTATCTAGCCTCACAGTGCAGTCACTGTCGAGCCTCACAGTGCAGTCACTATCTAGCCTCACAGTGCAGTCACTATCTAGCCTCACAGTGCAGTCACTATCTAGCCTCACAGTGCAGCCACTGTCTAGCCTCACAGTGTAGGCACTATCTAACCTCACAGTGCAGTCACTATCTAGCCTCACAGTGCAGTCACTGTCTAGCCTCACAGTGCAGTCACTGTCTAGCCTCACAGTGCAATCACTGTCTAGCCCCCAGTGCAGTCACTATCTAGCCTCACAGTGCAGTCACTGTCTAGCCTCACAGTGCAGTCACTATCTAGCCTCACAGTGCAGTCACTGTCTAGCCTCACAGTGCAGTCACTGTCTAGCCCCCCAGTGCAGTCACTATCTAGCCTCACAGTGCAGTCACTATCTAGCCTCACAGTACAGTCACTATCTAGCCTCACAGTGCAGTCACTGTTTAGCCTCACAGTGCAGTCACTGTCTAGCCTTGCAGTGCAGTCACTATCTAGCCTCACAGTGCAGTCACTATCTAGCCTCACAGTGCAGTCACTACCTAGCCTCACAGTGCAGTCACTATCTAGCCTCACAGTGCAGTCACTGTTTAGCCTCACAGTGCAGTCACTATCTAGCCTCACAGTGCAGTCACTATCTAGCCTCACAGTGCAGTCACTGTGTAGCCTCACAGTGCAGTCACTATCTAGCCTCACAGTGCAGTCACTATCTAGCCTCACAGTGCAGTCACTATCTAGCCTCACAGTGCAGTCACTGTCTAGCCTTACAGTGTAGGCACTATCTAACCTCACAGTGCAGTCACTATCTAGCCTCACAGTGCAGTCACTGTCTAGCCTCACAGTGCAGTCATTGTCTAGCCTCACAGTGCAGTCACTATCTAGCTTCACAGTGCAGTCACTATCTAGCCTCACAGTGCAGTCACTGTCGAGCCTCACAGTGCAGTCACTATCTAGCCTCACAGTGCAGTCACTATCTAGCCTCACAGTGCAGTCACTATCTAGCCTCACAGTGCAGCCACTGTCTAGCCTCACAGTGTAGGCACTATCTAACCTCACAGTGCAGTCACTATCTAGCCTCACAGTGCAGTCACTGTCTAGCCTCACAGTGCAGTCACTGTCTAGCCTCACAGTGCAATCACTGTCTAGCCCCCAGTGCAGTCACTATCTAGCCTCACAGTGCAGTCACTGTCTAGCCTCACAGTGCAGTCACTATCTAGCCTCACAGTGCAGTCACTGTCTAGCCTCACAGTGCAGTCACTGTCTAGCCCCCCAGTGCAGTCACTATCTAGCCTCACAGTGCAGTCACTATCTAGCCTCACAGTACAGTCACTATCTAGCCTCACAGTGCAGTCACTGTTTAGCCTCACAGTGCAGTCACTGTCTAGCCTTGCAGTGCAGTCACTATCTAGCCTCACAGTGCAGTCACTATCTAGCCTCACAGTGCAGTCACTATCTAGCCTCACAGTGCAGTCACTATCTAGCCTCACAGTGCAGTCACTGTTTAGCCTCACAGTGCAGTCACTATCTAGCCTCACAGTGCAGTCACTATCTAGCCTCACAGTGCAGTCACTGTGTAGCCTCACAGTGCAGTCACTATCTAGCCTCACAGTGCAGTCACTATCTAGCCTCACAGTGCAGTCACTATCTAGCCCCCCAGTGCAGTCACTATCTAGCCTCACAGTGCAGTCACTATCTAGCCTCACAGTGCAGTCACTATCTAGCCTCACAGTGCAGTCACTGTTTAGCCTCACAGTGCAGTCACTGTCTAGCCTCACAGTGCAGCCACTGTCTAGCCTCACAGTGTAGGCACTATCTAACCTCACAGTGCAGTCACTATCTAGCCTCACAGTGCAGTCACTATCTAGCCTCACAGTGCAGTCACTGTTTAGCCTCACAGTGCAGTCACTGTCTAGCCTTGCAGTGCAGTCACTGTCTAGCCTTACAGTGCAGCCACTGTCTAGCTAACCATTTACCCTTAATTCCTTCATAAATGTTATCTTGCTCACACTCCAGGAGCACATCAAACCATAAAAAAGCACTCATTCTGATCTAACTCAGTTATCTCATATGATGATAGATTAAGTGATTTTGTCATTTTTCTTTCTCCCAGAGTTAAAACTTTTATTCTATGCTTACGTTAATTTCCATTTGGTACTCTCCTACGTACAGTGGAACCTCTACTTACGAGTGCATCCACGTGCGAATTTTTCCAGATACAAGCAGCTGCTCGGTCGATTATTTGCTTCCAGACGCGAGCAAATTTCCAGATGCGAGCGGGCAACGTGTGATGAAAAGTTGCTTCTTAACGTACACCAAAAATGAAAGAAATTGGACCATAAATAACAGAGTTCACTTCTCAGCCATTAGTCTCCCTTTAGCGGTATATTTTCATATGATTTTTATGTTGTATTCTCATTTTATTTGGTCTCATGTGATAGAATGGATGAAAAGTTTCACGATGAAAAGTACCTTGAAATTGAGCTGAAAATAGCAGAAATGTTCGATTCTTTGGCAACATCAGTTGTAGAGATCATGAAGTAGCAGTGGCAGACATCATGAAGTAGCAGTGACAGACAACATGAAGCAGCAGTGACAGACATCATGAGGTAGCAGTGGCAGACAACATGAAGCAGCAGTGGCAGACATCATGAAGCAGCAGTGGCAGACATCATGAAGTAGCAGTGACAGACAACATGAAGCAGTAGTGGCAGACATCATGAAGCAGCAGTGGCAGACATCATGAAGTAGCAGTGACAGACAACATGAAGCAGTAGTGGCAGACATCATGAGGTAGCAGTGGCAGACAACATGAAGCAGCAGTGGCAGACAACATGAAGCAGCAGTGACAGACAACATGAAGCAGCAGTGGCAGACAACATGAAGCAGCAGTGGCAGACATCATGAAGCAGCAGTGGCAGACATCATGAGGTAGCAGTGGCAGACAACATGAAGCAGCAGTGGCAGACATCATGAGGTAGCAGTGGCAGACAACATGAAGCAGCAGTGGCAGACA